CTTCAAGCTATCCTACAAAGCCATAATCAAAACTATATGATACTGGAACAAGAACAGACACAAAAACCAGTGGATTTGAATAGAAAACCCAGATATAAACCCACAGGTTTATGGGCAGCTAATCTTTAACAAAGGAGCCGAGAAGATACAGTGGAACAAAGAAAGTTTGTTCAACAAATGGTGATAGGAAAACTGGGGAGCTACATGCAAAAAAAAAAAAAAAAAAAAAAAAAAAAAAAAAAAAAAAGAAACTAGATCACTACCTTGCACCATGCACATAAACCAACTTGAAGTGGATTAAGGACCTACACATAAGAATGGAAACCATAAAATACCTGGAAGCAAAAGTGGGCAAATCACTACACAACATACACCTCAATAATATCTTTAAAGATATAGCACCCAACACAATGATAATGAAGGAAAGGATAAACAGATGGGGCTACAATAAGTTAAAGAGCTTCTGTACAGCAAAAGAGATAAATACAAAAAACAAAGACATCCCTCTGATTGGGAAAAAAATTTCTCACATAATACTAGTAATAAAGGATTGATCACAAAGATATACAAAGAACTGATGAAATACAACAAAAATAAACAACCCCATCAAAACAAATGGGCAAAAAAGCTAAAAAGACATTTATCCAAAGAGGAAATTCAGATGGCCAACAAGCATATGAAAAAATGTTCACTTTTAATAAGGGAGAGGCAAATTAAAGCCACAATGAGATACCAGCTCACCGCAGTGAGAATAGAATATCTTAAAACAACTAGCAACAACAAATGTCGGCAAGGAAGCTAAAAATGGAATTTCCATATGCCCCACCCCTAGGTATCTATCCAAAAGAACAAAAACAATGATTCAAAAAGACACCTGCACCCCCATGTTTATTGCTGCTTTATTTATAATCGGAAAGACTTGGAATCAACCCAAATGCTCAAAAGTAGGTGACTGGATTAAAAACATGTGGTACATATACACAATGGAATATTACTCAGCAATCAAAAAGATAAATCCATGCCTTTTTAGCAACATGGATGGGAATATAAAGGACCAGGGGGAAATAAATAAATAAATAATAATAATAATGAACAGTTATATACCAGAGACATTTTATGGGGGTGGAGTGGGGAATGGGATCAAAAACAGTGGGGGGAGGGAAGTGCGTTGGACTATGGTGATGGCACATGGGTGATTTGGTGATGGGAAGGCCATGGGGATTACAAATGAGATGGAAAAAGGCACAAAATGATGTAAAAAAACCCATTATATTATTTAAAAGAAAGTTCTTTTGTCAAGGATGTCATGTTTAATTTATTACTGTTATTCTACACAATAAAAAGAAAGGCACAGAATGTCTTGAAATGCTATTTGACCCATAGGAAATTTTAATGAAAAGTTAATGATAGCTTCAGTTTTGAGTTTGTATCTTTCCTAGGAGGTTGGCCTATATGGGGAATCATAATCTGTACTGTAACATTTTCTCCTAAATAAAAGCAAAGAAACCTGACTATAAAGAAGGAATTTACAGGTTATCTAGAAGGCAACATGCAGGTATGGGGGAATACAAGCAAATAAGCTTTAACTTAGTCTTATTTCTGAACTGTATCTTTCTCACCTATTTTAACCTTTCTGTTTATGATCTTATTTAGTTGTAACTGAGGTGTAGTTTCTGCATTAACATTGAGAAAATAGTTTAAATTTTTATCTTCCATTGAATGTTCAGAGAGGATGTGACACCTGCCCTTTGGGCATGAAAAACTTCTAAAATATTAGGAAGATAATACTTAACTATGTAAATGCAATACCTTTTAATTATTACATTTGATATTATTATATCTAGAGGTAATGTTTACTTTACAAATTGAGAATAAAGAAGTGCAAAATATTTAATACTTGACCTGCAGTCACAGTCACTGGAAATGAACTTTGAATTTTAATAAAACTCATATTTGTGTCAATATGTCAGAATTTCTGTCTGAGGAATAAGGGATCCTGAGACACTATTCACTGCAGAATCATAGGATACAACCCTCTGAGTCTTTCAGATATTGATGGAATTATGGGTTCTTAAGGAATGTAGACACCAATTTTGTGGTATACTAGAATCTTTAGAATTGCCTGTATAACTTTATTTATTTTATACATTTTTTACATTATTCTTCATTTTGCACATTTTTTTTTCATCTCAGTTGTAATCCTCATGGATTTCTCACCACTACTTTACCCATGTGCCATTACCATAGTCCCTTGTGCTCTTCCCACCCCAGTTTTGATCTTGTTTCCCTCTCCTCCCCGTAGAATGCCTCTGGTTTATACAATTAACTATACATACATACATACACATATATATCTGTATCTGTATCTATATCTATATTTATATCTGTATATCTGTATCTATATCTATATTTTCCTAATCTCTGCTATGTATGAGTGAAACCATATGGTATTTTTCTTTCTGGCTTATTTCACTAAGCATGATCTTTTTCAGTTCCATCCATGTTGCCACAAATGGCATGAGTTTATCTTTTTCGATTTCGCTGAGAATATTCCATTGTGTATATATATCACATCTTCTTAATCCAATCATCTGTTTTTGGGCATTTGGGTTGATTCCACATCTTCCTTATTGTAAATAGATCAGTATAATAAAAAACAAGCAACAATAAATGTTGGCAAGGGTGTGGAGAAAAAGGAACTTTCATACACTGCTGGCGGGAATGTAAACTGGTACAACCACTACAGAAAGCTGTGTGGAGATTTCTCAGAATGCAAAAATGGAGCTTCCATATGATCCAGCAATTCTACTCTTAGGTATCTACCCAAAGGTCACAAAAATGATAATTCAAAAGGACACCTGCACCCTTTTGTTCATTGCTTGTTTAACTTTAAAAAATACATAAATTCCTTGTCTTAGAAATAATAAAGCAGAAACTTGGGATAGTTATATATCTTTTATTCTTGAATATCCTTCATAGTTATTCTATTTGCCCACCTGTTTTAGAATGAGTGGTTTAAGTTGTAAGAGGTACTATTAATGCTTTATGAATGAAGAGAATGTCATTTGTTTGTCTTTTCTCAGAGCATTACATTCTGGTTTTGTTAGCTACCTGATCAATGAAATTGCTTTTGTGGCTATTACCAAAGACCACTTAATTGAGAACTCTAGCAGACAGTTTTGCTTTCTTTTCTCACTTTTATGAGTTCATGTGTTTTCCATGCTTTCTCCATGTTCTTTTTTGTTTTTGCCTTCCACATTTTCAGTTTTTAATGGATTTCTTCTCACATATCTGTTCTTTACTTTTCAGTCTCCAATTCATCTACTTGTAATTAGCAAGGTGTATTCAGAGTTCTGTTCTTTGACTTCACCTATTCTTTTTATTTTATCATGCTCTCTAATACATCAGCCACATGTTACTGTTAAACATAGTTTGCAGTAAGATAATACTGTGTTTAAAATATATGTTGGGGCCTTCCCTGGTGGCGCAGTGGGTTAAAGCACTGCACTAAGAAGCTAAAGCCGCTTCCGCCTGAGTTCGATTCCCGCCTGCCCCGGAGGTGACCACATGGCGTGGCAGACCTCTCTTGACCCGCCCACTGCTCCCCTCAGCAGTGTACTTCGTAGATCTGCCTGTTCTGCTTCCTGCTCTGTCTCTGGTGAATCCTCTCACCCTCCACATGTCTGGCCTGTACCCCAGTTCTGTACGACTAAATTAATAAATCTTTAAAAAAATATGTATATATGTTGGACTTCAAAGACTTATGAATAAAATCATGTAAAAATCCTCCTTAATAATTTTAAAAGTTGTCTATATGTTGGAATGATACTTTAGAAATGTTATGGCATTTACAATATATTATTCAAATGGGTTGCACTATTCTTTTTACATTTTAAAATATGACTACTACTATTTTTTACTTGTAATTTTTGTTTTATAGCTTTGAAAGATAAACTTTATTCATTTAAAATTTTTAGGTAATTTTTAAATTGGCATATATTATTAATATTTTGGAAGTATTGGTTTTCTCCTTAGGCTTCACTATTGTAGTGCACTTGCCCACAAGTCAGCCATAGTCTACCATACTCTACTGTGCTCCCTTTCCTCTTTGTTTTCACTCTCACTCACTTCCTTTACCCTCTGGATGCTTCAGTTCTATAGTCATCTTTCAAGGGTTAGTTTTTAGGCTTATCTTTATCTGATCTTTAGTATGGGTATATTCCATTTACATGTGACACCATCCGGTATTTATTTTTCTCCTTCGGAATTATTTTATTTCTCATTATCCTTTCCAGCTCCATTCATGTTGCTGCAAATGGCACAAGTTTATATTTTTGATTATATATGTACACAACACACACATATACACACCACCTCTTGATCCATCCAGTTGTTTCTGGGCAATTATGTTGTTTCCATAGTTTGGCTGTTGGTCTGTTGTAAATGGTGGTGCAGTAAACATGGTAGTAAATATGTTTTCCCTTCAACTTAAGCGTTTTTTTTTCTTTCTTTTTTTCTTCAGGTAGATGCCTAGGAATGGATTTACTGGGTTATAGGACAGATTGTTTTTAATATTTTGAGAAACTTCTAGACTGCTTTCAATAAGGGCTGGACCAGTCTGCATTCCCATTAATAGTAGTGGAGGGTTCTTTTTCTCCATATCTGTGCTAGCAATTGCTATGTCTAGTTTTGTCAATTGAGGCCATCCTTACAGGTGTGAGGTGATATCTCATTTTCTCATAGGGAAAGCCTCCCACCCACAGAGAAAAAAATACTGTTTTAACTCTCCTAAAGGTTAACTTGTTTAAATTCAAATTCAATTATTTCTTTCTGGTAGTATAAGTAAGGTAAAACATATTAAGCATGACCTTTAGACATGTTTATAAATTGTTCTATTTCACTTGTGATAGTTTGGTTTATAGAGGCCGGATAAAAAATATAACTATAATTGGTTTTAATTTTCATTTTTCTCTATTTTCTAAACCCAACATTCAAATTAGGATGGTGATCCAGTTCGTCCAGGAGTGGCCATGACTGATCTTGCAACTGGCTTGTATGCATATGGAGCCATTATGGCTGGATTAATACAAAGATATAAGACTGGAAAAGGACTGTTCATTGACTGTAACCTATTGTCATCTCAGGTACTAATCCAAATAACATTTTACATAGTTGTATAAAAATATGTGTCTGAGTTTACTTTTTTAGATAAAATCCTATTATGACATAGGCAAAAACAAAAAACTCAAGTTCCTGATAAAACCCCTATACAACAAGAGCAGAAGTTGTTCTGTTTTATTGTACTTAGTTACTGTCAAATTAAAAAAACACACTATGTAGATTTTATTGTGATGCCAATATATATTGTTGAACTAGAATCTAAAAGACTGTTTTTACTAAAGTAGTTGTGTTATAAGTTGTGAAACAGAGTACAGTTGCTTCTGTTTTATTGTTATGTGAACCCTATAAACTTCTTTTGATTAGGGTTTTACACCATTTTTGTACTTTGGGTCTTTTGAGTAATCTAAGTGAAGTAGTGGAGCTTTTTCTTTTTTTTTTTAAGAATTTTACTGTTACACACAAACAATGAGATATGTAGGATTACAAAGGAATTCAAATGTATTTAGGTATATTATTTCAGTGTAAAGTACTGCTAGTACTACTTTGGTTTATTGCCTAGCTTCATAATTATAGAAAGCACCAAAAGGTTGATAAAAATAAAGATATAATAATTTTCGACATTATTTATTTAAAGACTCCAGAATTCTATCTTTGGACTCCAGATTAACAACCCTTGGTTTATTATTTATCCTATATTAAATACTAAATGGTGGAATGAAACTCAATATTTGAAAAAAAATTGTTCTCTAATTGACATTTCTTTACTCTGTCAGAACCAAACTTAGTTGATCTGAATAGACATTTCTCAGGGGTAGTAAAAGAAAATAATTTGTGAGAGGAGACATTTTATTGTGGGAAAACTTGCTTTATAGACAAAGACCTTAATTAGGATTTTCAGATTTTTGTGACACACATGGTAAATTACTTGCATCACTGCTTTTTTTTCCCCCAAGTTTTAGACATTGATTTTTCATTTGTGAAAAATTAAGTATGTGTATGTAGGTAAAAGGTGAAACATGGTGCTTGGGTTTTTAATAGTTTTGAGTTACAATCTGAATTTTAATGGTTATACAAAAATATTGAGAGAACTTTCTTGAAATGAATGGTTTAGCACTCCTTAACTGAGAACCACAGTTAGGTTTGGGGAAAAACAGCACTTCTTTTCTTTCTTCCTTAATTTTATAACTTTAAGGAACCTGATGTTGGCTAATTCCCAAAGGTTGTACAGCTAATAAATATGGGAGCCAGAAGGTTTCATGGCTTCTGTGATTTCATGGTTTCTATGTAGCCACAGAGAATCATAGACTTAGTTTAAATGCTCTTCTTTAACTGCCTTGATATTTTAAATAATTTTTTTCTTTACTTTTTCATTTTGTACCAGCAATTATAATACGTATAGCAGCCAATCTTTTTTCTTGATCAGTACCTGGACAGCTTTACTTATATGTTGATGGTTAATGAATTAGTTTTGGATAAAATTCTTTGTGGAGTACTGTGGAAATTAATTCTCGTTTAGCATAACAAAATGATTTATGATGTGAAGTTTTTTGTTGCTTGGGGTGGGATAGAGATGAGGGTCACTGGATAGAACTGTTTCAAAATGAGGGTACTGCGAGTATGAACTCATGCATATACTCAAATTTACATATATACCAGTCATTTTTGGTGTATGTGTATATGCTTATTCTGGGTTTTAGTGATATTTTGAAAACTCAGTCCAATATTTTCCAAAGAGCAGGCTTTCTGAATTTTTTGGAAATGAATGGGTTTGCTTTATGCCAATGAGATTTTCAGTTAGTGCATTTCAGGTTGGTGGACGTTTTGTCAAATGGTGATTGGTTGAATTTCAATCCTGGGTGTGACTTGTTCTTTTTCTTTTGGATTATGGATGTACTGCTCTATGAATGTTTCAACATGCAGGACTTCTGTGGTGCCTGACCCCCAATAGCCTCCTGAGTCTGTTTTGTTATAACCCAGACTTCACATGACCCCATGTTTGTTTATTTATTTTTTATTATTACCAATGGAAATGTCTCATAACCCTTACATTTGCTAGGAAAGATTAGAGAAAGGTAAAAAACCAATGTAATAGGTTTAGTGTTTCATACCAGCTAACGGTTAGATTATTTTTGGCAAACATGATAGTGATTTAGCCTATTATGCTGGAGCTAGCTCACTTAAAGTTTGGAAAAATAATTAGGCGAGGAAGTGAAATACATTCAGTAATAGGTCAGTCCTCTTCCTTCCGTGAAATAGTATACAAATAACTATCAGACTCTACAACTGCCCTTCTGGACAATTATCTAATCATATTTAGAGCTAGTGAGTGAAAACTATCATGGAATTTAACCTGATCTATAAGTGTTTCTGTTGAAATATGTAAAACAATATTTAGAGTCATGGGAGGATTTGATTTTTTTGTTTTGTCACTAGCCAACTGAGTGTTAACTGTGTCCTAGCCACCATGCTACCTAGGCTTAGAGTGAGAGGGGACACATCTGCTCAAGATTTAGTTGTGGAAGAAGCCAAGATGTATTGGAGAGTTGGAGATAATAACTGTTTCTGTTATTTTCTGACATGGGCCAAGATTGTTAAGGTTTTCATATGTCACTAGCAGGAAGCATTTAATCTCCTAAGGCTTCTGTTTCACTCTCGTTTTTGTTTGGTGATAATCTTTTCAATTATGTCGCCATGGATATTTGTTATAACTGTTGTGTTCTGTATAACCTCTGTTCATAGGGCAGTGATACAGATAATTTGTGCTGATGCCTACCTGAAATACAAAGCAATTGATGATAAGGATATTTTCATCCTCTGAATCCACAATAATGCAAACTTTGTTTCATCATACTCCTTTTCTTTGTGTAATTTTCTGTAGTGGAAGTCTCTTTTTTTGTGCTTCTCTAGCTTTGGGCATCTCTTTTATCTGACTTTTTCTCATTTATTTTTTTAACGTTCTTGTTTTCAATTCTGTTTTTAAGCTCTCTTCCTCTCTCCTCTTCTCTCTTTATTCTTCACTGTTTGGAGGCAAAGTTGTAGCAGTTCTGGCTTCAGATTTTACATCTTTATACCATACCTGTCAAAAAAAGTATCAGAATGTTTCAGTAGTTCCCATGGAAAAAAGTGGAGGTTCTCTCACCTAGAAGTCTGAGAGAACTGGACTAGGTTTCACTTAGTTACATAATCATTCCTGAAAAAATTAAGGAGATCTGAAAAATGGAAAATAAAAACTGGAAAATGCAGCTAAAACCAGAGAGATTAAGATTCCTTCAAAGATTGGTATGGTTATTTTTGAACAGAGGAAGGGGAAATGAATGTCAGGGACCCAATCAACTAATTTTCACTAATACTATCATCTGAGTTGTTTTGAGGATTTGATACAATAATGTATGTGAAAAAATCTCTGTAAATTAGAAAATATTTTACTGATGACTACTATTAATTTTATTAGGTTATTGAAAAAATTTCAGTGTTAGAAATGTGCTGAGATTAAAAATTTGGCATATTTTATTGCAATTAAGCTTTCATAATAGAGAAATCTTGACTAACTTCACTTAGTCTTTTAAGATAACATGCATACATTTTTAGATTCCAGAACCAAACCACAAGTGATTAAAATCTGCTTTATGCAAATAGAAGTGCTATTTTTAAATACATTTCAAAATAACGTAATAGGAAACTTCATCTTTTAAAAAATGTATTCATTTTTTTTTATATACAAATGTTCACCTGTGTTAAGCAGATAGCATTTGAGCTTAATTTCAGCTACTTGGAAAGTGACTGTGATTTCATACATATAGTGACAAAAAAAAGAGATTTTTCTATTCATTTTGATTGCATTACATAGGATGACAAATTCAACATCAGTTGCTAAAAATGAAATTTTGTACTCTCTAAAAGTGTATAATAGACAAATTACACTTGATTTGAATAGTAGCTAATTATTAACTCACAGATGATTGCCTCAACCACAACAAAACCATTTTACTGTAGAGACAAGACAGTTGCCAGGATGTGGTTTATAGTGGGCACCAAATTTTTGTAGTTTCAAGGCTATAAACTTTTAACCTCTGTCATAAAATTCTTTGATTCTTTCTTGGTCTTAATATGATTTGAAGTTGTCATCTGAAAATTGTCTAACATCAGCATCTAAACAGTATTTTTATATGATATTGGTAAATAAAAAGGAAGTGGGTTTGGATGTGGTTCCAATTATTCTTTGTTCATAATGTTCTATTGTGGTTTACAGAAATATCTTTTGGAAGTTTTAATATCCTTCCTGTACTAATTGCAACCAGGCTTCCCTAATTACTACTACAAGTTAGTTTTTTAGCACCATACTTCCATAATTATTTTCATGTATAGAATTTTTTGGCATTTTAATGTGATCATTTTTTCTCCATGTTGGTTATGGTTCACATTTAGGGTAGATAACATTTTAACTCTTGTTATATAGCACACTTTTATGGGGAAACTTTTGAATATCAAATAAAGTAATCTAGAATACATCTTTTTGTGTTTTTAAATACACTTGTGTTTCTGCTTTTCTTTTCTTTCTTTCTTAAAGATTTATTTATTGATGCATACAGGACTGGGGTACAAGCCAGAGGTGCAGGGGTGGTGAGTGGGGAGCAGAACAGGCAGATTTGCTGAGGGGAGCAGTGGGCAGGTCAGGAGAAGTCTACCACACCATATGGGTCACCTCCAGTTTGGGGATTGAACTCCTGCTGAAGTGGCTTTAGTTTCTCAGTGCTGTGCTTTAACCTGCTGCGCCACCAGGGAGGGCTTTTCTTTTTTATTCTGCTAATATAGTTATATTTTATTTAGGTTCATGTTATGTATTATAAAGTTTGCATTATTTCAAGAGACAGTTTAATAATTTTTTTGGTAAATATGGTAATTTTTAGTAAATTTTATGTAGCCATTAGCACAAGTGAGCTTTTGAATAATCACCTTTTCTGGTCTTGAGTATCACTCATGAAGCTAGATTGGACCAGTTTTGAGTAGGTAGGATGTTGGATTG